ATTAGTCTCTTTTCTCCAGATTCCCAAATTTTAACTTCTTGAAATATACTTTTCAGATCTCAAAAAATAGATTTAACTGATTTTTTTCCTTTCACTTCAAATAATATAGCTTAAAACATTTATGTGGATGATGTAAAAACTATGTTCAGATCATCTTTATATGCCCAGGAAGTTTTTTCCAGGAATTTTTCTGATCCAACGTTTTCTGGAAAAGCCATGTTTTCACCAGAGCTGGCATACTGGGTGACAGTTCAGCAACTCTGAAGGCTGATAAATTCAAAGTCTGACAAAGGTTTTCCCAGGCATGGCGGTTATCAGATTGCCCTGCTGGATCACCCCAAGGGCTGAGTCAGTCCATCATTGTGTGTCAGAGAGTAGCCAGCACATTTGTAAAGCTCACAAGCACAGCCAGGAGGCCAGGCCAACGGTGGCTCCCAGCCATTGATCTTCTTTTATTGGAGATGACAGCCATCATAGTTCGCATCTATTGATAACCCTGGCTCTTCTGCAACTCATCTAAATGTTAGGATGATAGCAATAGCAATAGCTATTTACCGCTTAGTTATATACCACTTCCCAGTGCTTTACAGCCTTCTCTAAGCAGTCTACAGAGTCAGCTATTTCTCCACAACAATCTGGGTCCTCATTTTACCTACCTCGAAAGGATGGAAGGCTGAGTAAGTGGAAGGAAGGAAGGAAGGAAGGAAGGAAGGAAGGAAGGAAGGAAGGAAGGAAGGAAGGAAGGACANACACACACATACATACATACATACATGCATACATACATACACACACACACACCATTTCACACATGTGACTGTCCAGTCTCTTCTTAAAAACCCCAGTAAGAAGACCCTACAACTTCTAGAGGCAAGGTGTTCCACTGGTTAATTGTCCTCACTGTTAGGATTTTTTTCCCTTAATTCCAGGCTGCTTCTCTCCTTGATTAGATTCCAACCATTGTTTTTTTGTCCTGCCCCCTGGTGCATTGGAAAATAAGTTGACCCCCTCCTCTTTGTGGCAGCCTCACCAACTTCCCGCAAAATCACCAAATCCCATGCATATTTCAGCATTCTCTCCTGAAATTTCACCAGTTCCCAGATGTCAAATCTAGAACTCGCAAGGTTTCAGTACTCTAGCATGAAATAGGAGCATTCTCGTGTAAGAGCTTACCAAAAGCTTACAAAATCTCAACATGTAAGCGGGATGATCTCCAGCAGATTAGGACAAGAGAGAAAGCAGCAGTAAACTTTAAATCCAGGATTTTGAGGTCATCTCATATAAAAATATACAGAGGGCAACCCCAAAGTTCTGCAGGCAGCCTTCAGGTTATGACTGGTAACCTGGCAACTATTCAAAGTTACAACTGGTCAGAAAAGGGGGACTTATGACCCAGATTTGAAATTCTTAGGGTTTGGGGCAGGGGTGAAATCCAGCAGGTTCTGACAAGTTCTGGAGAACCGCTAGTGGAAATGTTGAGTATTTCAGAGAACCAGTAGCAGAAACTTTTGAGTAGTTCGGAGAACCGGCAAATTCCACCTGTGGCTGGCCTCAGGAATGGGGGGGGGCGGAATGGAGATTGTGCAGTATCCTTCCCCTGCCACGCCCACCAAGCCACGCCACGCCCACAGGATCGGTAGTAAAAAAAAACAATGTTACCACTGGTTTGGGCTCCCTTTTGTAATCATGTGACCAAACATCACCCACTACATTTATGGGTTTTTGCAGTGTCCTAGATTCACAAAACCACACCCATAGTAAACAACTGGCTTAACAACAGCAGATTCACTTTAGCATAATGACTGTCTTAACAACCACTGCAAAACAGGTTGTTAAAAAAAATAGTCATGTCACCGACCCACATTACGACTCTTACAGCATACGGCTGTGTCATAAGCAGACTCCGTTACCGTTGGACGTTGAGGACTACCTGCGATCCATGTTTCTTGTTCTGGACTCCGTTCCATAAGTCCCAACCGGCAGGACCAAAGAACACAAGGGTTTAGGGGGTTGTCAGAACTGTAGCCCAGGGGTAGGTTGCTCCCAGCATTACTGCCAGTTCGGCGCACGCAAAAATTTTGCTGCTGGTTTCAGCGGCCCAGGCCACCAAACCACTACCGGTTCAGCCAAACCGGTCCAATCCAGTAGGAACCCCCGCCTGTTGCAGCCTAAGGAAGCAGCATTGATCTTCAACAACGCTGGGTACAGACACCTGTGCCTCACCTGTCCAAAAATGATTGTCTTTCCTGGGGCTGCAAACATACGGGCTGCAAATCATCGCACCTTGTCCTCCCATCTAAGACCGATTGGACCACAGTAATGGGCAGCACGGGGGGCTCCGGACAGGGGTTGTATCCAACCAAGGGGACAGCAGGACTGGAGAATGCAGCTTTCCTATCCGGACCAGTGGCTTCTTCCTTGATCAGCAACAGATTGGTTTCCCTAGAACGAGAAATAAGTCCTCTCCATGTTCTGCCTTTCTTTGCTCCTGTTGTGGCCCACCAGTGGCCAGCGGGGCTGGCAGCAGGCTCAGCCAGTGAGGAGGTTGGGGAGGAACATGGGCCAGTCCTGAAGGCTGGGGAAGGCTCTGAGGAGGGCTCTCCATCAGAGGCAGAGGAGGGGGCCAGGGCCGTAACNTTAGCAGCTGCCTTCAGAGTCGGAGATCAGTGGGGCAGAAGAACTGCTGGAGCCTGTCCCCAATGTGCACATGCGCAGAGCTGCCAGAAGAAAGGAACAGCTAAGGAACAAGGGCCGACTCAGGTGGACGGTGAATGGCCCCTCCCAGAGGAAATAAAAGAGGAGCGACAGGGGAGGGGAGTTTGCAGGAGACAATTAGCTCCCTTAATTAGTGTGAAGCTTTGTTCGTGACTCTCAGAGACTCCTTGCCAAGTATTTTCTTGCTCAGCATTTGGAAGATATCGGTCTGGCAGCCCTCCAAGCCTGATAAGGTCTGTGGTTGTAAATTGAAAGGCTGTTTGCCGGGAATGAGAGGAATTCACATTAGCTTAATAAAAAGGGAGTTTTGTCAGGAAAAGGAGTCTGCTTTGTGATTTCGGGAAGCCTCGGTCAGGACAGATGGGTTGAGAGCAGAGACCAATTGGGGAAGCTGCAATTATTGCATTCTTGTCTGTAACCCAAATGTCGAATGGCAGTGCCGCCATCCAAGATATTTTTCCCCCAATTTCTCAGTCCAGTTTCTGCTTCTAGGATTCCCTGGTAGTCAAATTAATTCTACCAAATCTAACTAGCCAAATCTAATTCTACCAAATTTTCAAGAGCTGTCGACATGACCTCATGGGTGGCTTTTACGTCAGCGACCACTGCAGCATCCCCATGGATAGGGGATTGAAATTCAGACCCTTTCAGCATCCTTGCAGTGACACGCCCCATTTCCTCGAAAATAAGACCTCCCTGGATAATAAGCCCAATCGGGCTTTGGAGCCCATGTGCTAAAATAAGCCCTCCCCTGAAAATAAGCCCTCCCCTAAAATATTTAACCGCATGCGCAGCCCGTCCCTGCAATTTCCTGGGGGGGGACATGCCCTATGCGCCCCACATGCACCTCTTATCCATGTGGAATGGCCCCACAGAGGCCGCTCCTGCAATCCCCAACTACCATGCCCCTTCACTTAGTGACGGTTGCAAAAAGAACAACAGACCCTGAGATGCTAGGGCTGGCAAAGTGTGCCAGAGAGAGAGACAGAACTTTCGACCCTCTCTGGATCATCTTATCCACAGGTCACGGGATGAGATTATGGGGCCTCCTGCACCTCAAAAATAATAAGGCCTCCCCAAAAATAAGGCCAAGCGCTTATTTCGGGGGTCAAATGAAAATAAAGACACTGTCTTATTTTCGGAAAAACACGGTTTTCAAAATTCAGGAGCTTGGCAACTGACTCACTTTTATGACGGTTGCAACATCCCATGGTCATGTGATCCCCATTTGCGACCTTCAGACAAGCAAAGTCCATGGGGAAGCCAGGTTCACTTAACAACCATGTGACTAACTTAACAACTACAGTGATTCGCTTAACAACTGTGATGAGAAAGTTTGTAAATTGGGGCAAAAATTCACTTTAACAACGGTCTTGCTGAGCAAAGGATAATTTTGGGTTCAATTGTGTTCATAAGGCAAGGACTATCTGTTTTGAACACGCAATTACATGAATTTTATTTATAATTTTATATAATTTTTATATAATTGTATGTAGGGGTTTATAATATAAATGACCATAATATAAATAACAACAATAGTAATAGTCCTATAGATTATCCTTATAAAAGATACTGTATTTTCTATTCAATACAGTTTATTTTGTTCTTATTTATTTATTAAATTTGTATGCCCTCCGTTTGACTATTGAGTGTCTCTGGACTTTGCCTTCGAGCAACAGTTTATCCTTTCAAGTTAACCCAAATACTCGGTAAAATATCGGGGGATTCTGGAAGTTTAAATCCACACTGCTTAAAAGTTCCCAAGTTTGAAAAATACTGATTTGAATTATGCAAGACAGGGAATCCTCGACTTACCATCATTCATTTAATGACCATGCAAATTTATATTGGAATACATTGAGGGGGAGAAGGAATTATGAGCAGTCCTCAGACTTATGACCATCACAGCACCCCCTGCAGTGATGTGATTGCAATTCAGATGCAATTGATCCTTGCAATTCTGGCAAGCAAAGTCACTGAGATTTGTTGAACAACGATGTGGTTTGTTTAACAACTACAGTGATTTGCTTAACAACCGTGGGAAAAATGTCATAAAACCGTGCATGCTTGCATCTACTTTAGTCTTCTTTCTTGCATCATCAATCTGGAGACTTCAGCTCAAGGCAAAGTCAGAACTCCAGCAAGCCAGCAGCTTGTCAGGTACACAGGTATTCCTCAAGTTACAACTTAACATTTGTTTAGTGGCTAGGGATGAGGGGAGGTGTAGTACGGTAGCATTCAGAAGACCCCCAACCTCCCCCACTTGAGTTTCCAGTATTACTTACACATATTCAGCTGGCGGACGAAACTGGCCATGTTGTTGTGCTTGAAATATTTGGGCAGGACTTCCTTGGCAAACTGACTCTGATCGAAAACATGGAAGCTGGTGCCATTCTGAAAGGGAAAATAAATAAAATAAAGCAGCAGTGATAAGGTGGCAGGCTGAACCAAAGTAGGCCTCAAGCCTGAACCAAACTAGGGCTTCATGTTATTAAGCTTTAACTGTTCATATAGAAATTGCAAGGTTTGCTTTTAGGACATAGTGTGGTTAGACATGGGTTAGAAGGAAGCCTGCACATGAAATATGCTGAAGCGAAGCATTTATTTTAGCCTATTTGTTGGCTTGGCTATTAATCTGTGTGGTAGACACATATTGTTAGTTCCTCAAAATACAAGCTATGTATATCCATTGGCTGACCTATGTATTATGACATCCTATAAACATACTTTCTGTAACTCAAGGGCAAAATCTTGAGGGGTATTTCCAAAACTAACAGATGGCTTTAGCTGAAAGCGATAAACTATATAAGGAATTTTCTGACTTTCACTCATGGTTCAGGCCATTTATTCTGAACCTGCGCAAATAAACATTTCCTTCTCTGAAGAGCTGGCTTGCGTGTCCCGTCTTTTCTACAACAGTGAAATTCAAAAATTTTCCCTACTGGTTCTGTGGGCATGGATTGGTGAGTGTGGGTTGGTGGTCATGTGACTGGGGTGGGTGTGACTTGGTGGTCATGTGACTGGGCGGGCAACAAGCAGGAACCTCACGGAGTCCCAGAGAGCTCAAAAACAAACTATCACGCTTGACACAAAAATAACACAAAAGCTGCCCAACTGACTCCCACACATTGCAAAAGCAGGTTGACTTCACACACAAAAAATGTTCCTACAATTGTGCGGCACAGCTGATTTTCACAACTGATCATTGGAACCTTTTAAAAAAACCTTTTAAAGAATTTTTTTTAACTACCAGTTCAGGCATTTACTACCGGGTAGTACCAAAAGTATTAGATGCTCCTTCAAAACCCACTGTCTCGGGAGGCAGGGCTTTATGTCGCTACAACACAACATGCAATCTTGGGGCTCCAGGATTGCTGTCGATATCTCTGTTGCTGGACAATCCTTTTTGGATCTAAA